CCTGATAGGGCAGCGCGCCGGGCCATTAATCCAGTCTGGGGTTCAGGGGGCAGCGAGCGCAGTGAGCTCGGCTTTCAGCAACATGAGAAGATGATGGTCAGACAGAAGTGGAGGGTTCAGGGAGCTGACCTGTGACGGTGATGACCGCTCTGACAGGAGAATTCTTTTGTTCAGGAAATGACAGAACTCAGAGTTCACATGATCAGAGTGAGAGTGAGCATGGATTCACTCTAATGAAGACCTTTAGGATGAGCTGAGAGCTTCTGTTCAACACTGTAGAAGACCAGAGTGATTTTTCTCATTTTCCCAGCAGTGGAGTCTACATGAGTAATTGTACTTTAATACTGTAATTAAATACTTTTACTCAGTTATTTTTCAATTTTCACTTAAAAAATACTCTTCACTATTTACATTTTTCTTCAGATTTTTCTTTAGACTTTATTTATACAAAATCCTCATTACAAATCTGAACAATCTCTCCTGGCAATGAGTACATATTATACATATACATATACATATACATATACATACACATATTCATATACATATACCCACACACACACACACACACACACACACTTTAAAAAAGATCCTCAAGAATTATTTTGTAAAAAACAAAAAAAAAAATGGTTCTCTATAGAAGTTTGAACACTCAAAGAACCCTTTGCATGATTAAAGGGTTGTTTGCAACATGAAATGGTTCTTCAGATTGATGGAGAATGTGTTTTATATGGTTCTATAGAGCACCAAAAAAGGTTTTTCTATTGTTACAGGCTTGACATTGTAAGAAAAAACAAAAAAAAACTTTTTGGTGCTATTTAGAACTTGTTTCAAAAGGGTTCTACATGGACTCATCTGTAGCACATTCTTTGAATAAAAAATTAAGAGAAAAAATTTAGTTTATATGAACAAAAGTAATATTTTACATCAGTTCAATCTGCAGTGAGTGTTGACTAGATTTAAGATGATTCAATTGCCAAGAAATCATTTTCTTAGCAGTGAATGTCCAGCTTTCTTACTCTGTCCAGTTACAGATGTACATATTTACACTGGGCAGTGATGGTCAGATTTTCTTATTCAAAGAACTCATCTATATCAGTTTATCCAATGTAACTATATATAGTGAATTACATACATTTACATTTAGTTTACATCCAGTATTGACAGATTTGTTGTTGCACAGCAAGAACTTTCCATCATCATAACAAAAAACCTCACATAAATCAGTCACAACTGTGGTGTGGACTGAGCGTTTAGAATCTGCACTTTCCACACACTTGTTTCAAAGAGCTACAGGTCAGAAATAACTCAACAAAGTATTAAAGAGGACTTTAAGTTTTATTCTTTAGGAGACCTGGGAGATTTATTCTAGTACACTTGTCTTATTTGTAACCTAACATCCCAGCAGAGGATGCGTCCTCCTTTTCAGGCTTGGTTCCTCCCCGTGGTTCTTCTTCATACGTTCCTCTGAGAAAAAAATGTTGTGTTGGAAAAATTTGACATGCATTGAATCCAAGTTTGACCGACAGCTAGCTAACTTTAGCTAAAAAGAAGGAGTTAGCACAAGTTTTGTTCTATTTTTTTAAAAAATAAAGAAAATCTCATTTAATTGTAATGAGTTTGTTGCGTCGTGTACTGTGTGTACAGTAATATGCATTTGTATACAGTTTTACACACTTCTGCACATTTTAATACAAATTACTGTTTATTTACTTATTGAATTTAACACATTGGTGAAAAATAAAAGATTAAATGTGCATTTATTTATTTATTTATTTATTTATTTTTTCAATATGTAAACTCAGCAAATAAATTGAAATGCATAGAAATAGTTATAAATAATTGCAGAAATCAAAATGAAATATATATATATATATATTAATGTATCATATTTAAGTCCACTGTGGACGATGTTCATTTATTTATAATTAAAAAATAAACTAAGATTAAATAATAAAATAATGAATTAGCTATAAGAAGAATGAATTCACATTGAGTTTACAGATAATGTTTACATATGCATTTATAGCAAATATTCTATATGTTACATGATGGGATTATTCTCTGTGCGTAAGAGACATGACTTTAATTTAACAGAATTTTCCAATCTAAAAACTGTTACAGGCTTGACATCGTAGCAGTAGAAGAACCCTTTTGGTGCTACACAGAACCCATTTAAAAAACCTTTTTATATAGAACCATCTATAGCACATAATCACTCTGAAGAACCATTTAATGATGCAAAGAACCCTTTAATCATGTATGATTGTTCATGGTTCTATATAGAACATCTTTCTTTACTTAAGAACCCCTGAGGAACCAGTATTTTTAAGAGTGTAGGTAACGTTAGTTACTAGCATAGCCGACTGAACAGTATGAAGACTGAGCTTCTTTACACAGAGGTTCGTTTTATTAATGAGCCCCGCAAAAATAGGGGAACCGCTCGTTTCATTCTAGGGCCGAATCATAGGGCTGTAAATGGGCGTGTAAAACCTCATCTGGGCATTTTTCACCCTGAGCACTGTTGCATGCCTTCTTTGTAGACATCAGAGAATAATTAAAATGCTGAATAAATACATTTTATGGTATTTTAAATGGTCTGTCAGGCTCACTTTATAATACAGTCCACTGTGCAGATAAACTCCTCTCCGCTGTTTTTCTCAGCCCGTCTTACACTATCTGTGTATATTCTACAGCTGTTTCTGACTGTATCTGTGTGTTTGATCTGTAGTGCACTGTATGAATAGAGACTCTGTTTTATGTTGCTCATTGTGTACTGCCGTGTTTAAAGGGGAACTCCACCAATTTTTCAAAATTCTACCAAAATGTTGGGTGACACTTTATTTTGAGTGGCCTTTTTTAAATTAAATAACAACTCAACAGGCTCTCAGTAACCTTCAAAAACATATAAAGGTTAGGATTAGGATTAGGTTTTGGGTTGAGGTTAAGGTTAGGGTTAGGATTAGGGCCAGGCTGAGGATTAGGATTAGGGCCAGGGTGAGGTTTAGGTGTTAGGTAAGGTTGGTAAGGTTAGGTTTTGTGTAAAGGAAGTAACATATTAAAAATACATCTAGTTAATGTAAGTAATGTATCAACAGAACATCTACAAGATATTTACTTCAGTGTATTCAGATGCTTCACTACTGCTACTTCACTGATATGTTGTTGGTGTATTACAGATAATCTATCAAGAGTTTATTAATCATCTTTAAAGGACTACTCCAAATAAAGTGTTATCAAATGTTGAGATGTAAACAAAGTCAGAGTGGTTGGGTCTGAAATGCTTTGCTCTACAGAAACGTCTTGAGTCAGTGGTGGTGATAGGAACCAGACGTCAGACCAGAGTTTAATGCTTCTGAAATCTCCCTCACAGACAGCTTTTACATGAAATGGTTAGACATACGCTGCCTGATGTCTGAGACACTGTTTTATGATTTTTTTTGTGATAAGCTTTCACCCTAAAATGTATTTTAATCATTGATGGTGGAGGGATATATGCAGGGTGTTGTGAGGCAAAATAGTCCCCAAAGAAAACTTACTTTCTCAGATTTATCACTGAATCATCATCAAAATTCCATATTAAAGCTCAGAAGACTCGTTTAGGTTCACTGGTGGTTCTGGATAGTAAATAAAATATCTTGTGTTGTAGTCATGGAGACCCCTGGCACCACCTCTGTGAAGAAATCTGAACCATTTCACACCAAACCACTCTGAATCTCCCCTTTTATTCCCCTTCAGTGCTTCTAATATAATGTGGATTCCCCAGCATGGCACCATGTTTTGCATTAGCAGCAATTCAGCGTTCAGTATGGCTTTTTATAATCATTCCTGTTGAGCTGTTCAGGACAGTTTAGATGATGATTTAATAAATAAATAAATCAGTGGGCAGTAAATATATATTTGAAAAACAGCAATAGCTGAAATGAGCAGCGTTTTATCTTTATTTATTTATTTGTTTATTTATTTATTTATGTTTTCTTTTATTTATTTCCGTGGTTGTTGCAGTGGAGTGAAGGCTGCAGTGATCTGATTTGATCTCTCTATTCTTGTGCAGGTGTGTCAGTTTTAAATCTGCCCAGTAGGTGGGACTTGATGTTCAGAGCATGAACCTCTCTCTCTCTCTCTCTCTCCCCCTCTCTCTCTCTCTCCCTCTCTCTCTCCCTCTCTCTCTTTCTCTCTCTCTCCCCTCTCTCTCTCTCTCCCTCTCTCTCTTTCTCTCTATCTCTCTCCCTCTCTTTCTCTCTCTCTATTTCTCTCTCTTCTTTTTTCCACTCTCTCTTTCCTCTCTTTATCTCTTTCTCTCTCTCGCTCTCTCGCTGTCTCTCCTTTTTCCACTCCCTCTTTTCTCTCTCTCTCTCTCTCTTTCTCCTTTTTTCCACTCCCTCTTCTTTCTCTCTCTCTCCCTCCCCATCTCTCTTTCTATTGCTCATCTCACTTTTTCTATCGCTCATCTCTCTTTTTTCCACTCTCTCTTTCCTCTCTCTCTCTTGCTCTCTCTCTCCCTCCCTCCCCTCTGTTTCTCTCTCTCTCTCTCTCTCACTCTTTCCTTTCTTTCCCTCTCCCTCTCTCTTTCTCTCTGTCTTTCTCTCTCTTCACACATTCTGTCTCTCTCTCGCCCCACACACATTCTTACTCTCTCTCTCTCTCTCTCTCTCTCTCTCTCTCTCTCTCTCTATTCCCCTTATCTCTCTCTCTCTCACACACACACACACACGTATTTGCCATTCCTCTCTCCCCATCACACTCCCTCCCTCCCTCCTCTCTCTCTCTCTCTCTCTCTCTCTCTCTCTCTCTCTCTCATTCACTCTGTGTCCCTCCTCCCTCTCTCTCTTGCTCAGCCACCCTCACCCCCTCCCCCCTCCTCTCCCTCTCTCTCCCTCCCTCCCGTCTCTTTCTCTCTGTCTCTCACTCACTCTCTCTCTAGCTTGTGCTCTCTCGCCCCCTCTCTCTCTCTCTCCTACGCTATCTCCCCCCTCCAACTCTCTGGGAGCAGCGTTAGAACTCTCCGGATCGCTCCGCCGTCCGCAGCTCCGTGTGTTGATGTACCATGCAGTCTGCAGCGGAGGACGCACCGCGCGCTCGGGATGCTGCCGCCTCAGCCTCGTCTGCACTAACGGAGTAGTCGTCCCTCCATCCTTTTCTTCTCTCCTCTCCTCTTTTTTCTCTCTGTTTTCTCCCAGCTGAAGTCGCGGGACCTCGCTGCTTTCACTCCGCTGCACCTGCACCCTTTTTTTTCTCTGTGGATAAAAAGGCATAAGGGCTTCTGTCTGTCTGCTGCTCTTACATCTCCACGGCCGGTTGGATCTCTCAGACCGTGTGTCCGGCACTCATGGATGGGTTTCTGGCTTCATGCATGATGTGCTGGTGGAGGGTTCTGCTGCTCTCGGCCGTTCTGCGCCGCTCTCTCGGCTCTATCCTGGACTGCCCGCCCACCTGCAGCTGCTCCAGCACGGAGATTTTCTGCAATAAGTCCTACCAGGGAACCTTTTTCCCTCTTCTCGCATTGCATGAAACTGGCGGCGAGGGGAACGGAACCCACAACAGCATACCGGACCTGTTTGAGAACATCACCTCCATGTAAGTGCCTGTCCGTCACATGTGCATGCGTTTTATTTCTCCTGCGAGGTTCAGGGTCACTTGCTTTTATGGTCAATCTCACGTGCACTTCACTTCATACGCTCTTGAAAAAAAGATGGTTCTAGGAAGAACCTTTAATTGGTATGGAACGTACATTATGTGGAGGGTCTTTCAACTTCAAAAAAGGTTCTCACTTCCGAAGATGGATCATTGAAAGGTTCTCCTGTGGCATTTCTTCCAAAGAAACCTGCTTTGGGACCTAGTGTGTAGATCATGTGTGCTAGATATATGGGTTTTGTATAGTACCAAATGTTTGGAACCATTTATGTAAAATATTCTTTGAAAAAAATGCATACAACAGGTTCCATCTTAGAGAAGAACCATTTCACCATGCAAAGACCCTTTGGTTCTTTGACCTGTCCGGGTTCTATATAACCACTGCCTTTACTAAAGAACCCTTGGAGAACCTTTGAGGTGGTATCATAATAAGAATGATCAACTGTGCTTATGACAAAAAGGTGGTTCTTTGAAGAACATTTACTGAAAGGTTCTTTAGAGAACCAACAGTGGTTTTCCTGTGGCATCACTACAAAGTACCTGCTTTGGCACCTAGAATGTAGACATGTGCTAGATATAATCATATGATCTACAAGTTCTATTTAGTACCAACTCATTTTTTAAAGTTTCTTAAAATATTTTCCCACATGTTCCATCGTAGAAGAACCTTTTATCCATGCAAAGAACCGTTGTTTCTTTGAGCTGTCATGGTTCTGCACATAATCCTGATTTTGCTAAAGAACCATCGAAAGGTAGTCTAATGTAAAGTCCAGTTTGCTTAAGATAAAAGATGGTTATTTAAGGAACCATTCACTGAAAGGTTCCATGGGGAACCATAAGTGGTTCTCCTGTGGCATCTCACCAGAGATCCTGCTCTAGCAGCTTTATTTATAGTGTAGATCATATATACTCATATGCACTTTTGCTGTATAACTAATTCATAATATAATACAACACGATGTTCACCAATTTGTGCTTATTATATATTAAGAAATGACCAGACTGGTTGATGTGTTGCTGTTGTCGGTAGAGAACGTTGCATCATGTAGTTTAGATACGTGACGTTCTCCTGAGATCACGCACAAGGAGATCTTTCGGATCTTCTGCTTGTTGATGTGTAAATAAGCAGAATTCAATTATATGACAATGGAAGTGAATGGAGAGCTGATGAGAGGATGAGTGTTGGGCTCTTTGTTCTCCGGAGCGAATCGATGGAACACCTAGCATGGAAAATAAGTTTGGGAATGAATTGGATCTCCAGAAAGACGTGCTGTTTCTTTTCTTTTCCTTTCCTTTCCCCCCATCCACAGAGAGAGAGAGAGAGGGAGAGAGAGAGAGGTGTCTTTATGGAAGCTGCTTTGTATTCAAGGCAGGAGCTCCAGAAGGAATTTTTTGGTTTCTTCTTTCTTTCTTTTTATTTATTTATTTATTTATTTATTTAATTTTTCTTTTTAATGCCTTCAGTGGTTCAGGCTGCGTTGGAGACAGAAGAGCATCATCTCTTTCGTCTCTTTCTTTCTACAGATTGCACACTGCACCTTCTCTCACGCTCACATTTGCAGCGTATTTTAATATTTTTGTGTTTATGCAGAAAACGCTGCCTCTTAATGTTGCCTCTAGAATGCGCAGAGGATCTTCAGAAGTTCATGTCATGAAAATAAAACATTTATTGGACTTAATTTTGAGGCAAGACCTCCTTATCCAGGTTCAAATGAAGAGAAATGCTGTAGAATGTGTGTTATTGCACCATTGCTGTCTTCAGTTGAGCAGCATAAGCAGTTATGGCATTTTTAATGGAGAGGCTTATTGCTTTGGCCAAAAGAGAGCTATCTTCATCTTTATCATCATCATCATCCGCAGCAGAAGAATCATTTTTTCCCCCCCTTTCATATGTTTTCTTAACAATTTGCTTCGTTCCTGAGCCAAATACTCGAAAGGGACAGGATCTAATTCAACCAGATGCTTTTAGATTGACTGTGTAAGATGTGCTCCACACAAGGAATGCCAAAGCGAGAGAAACGTGAGCCGTGCTCCTGCGCTCCCCGGGGTTTCTCCCCGAGCCAAATGCATCATTACCGAGTCTCTGATTGACGCTGGAGCTTTGAAACTGATCCACAGCTTTATGGTTCTTTCAGGTGTACTCAGAGAACACCGCACAGACATGCAGGCTATTCCAGTGACAGATAAACAGACACTCGCCAGTCCAGGCCACTAGAGGGGGATTGTTAGCTTTTCCTTTTCCCCCACAAGCCTAAATTCCTCCTACAGGCTGCTCGGCTGATTTGTTCTCGCCGATGTAGATGATAATATCAGTGATAATAATAGGAGTCGATTTACTGGTTTTCATTTAATATTAAAAGCATGACAGTGTTGTCTAGAGATAGATTAGAAAGCTGAGCCTCTAAATGCTGAGGGTCCATATGAGGGTCCACATTTCCGTTATTCTGTCATGGTTCTCTCTGGCTCTGAAGCCTCCAAGGACTCTATTCCCCAGAATCCCGACCCTCCAACATGCTCCAATCACCACTCTCCTTCACCTGAATACTGATCTGTATCACCTGTTGTTTTGATCCCATGACTAGTTAGTGTTAGTTTGAGGCCCGGGCTTTTAGACTAGCTCATTGCGAGGTACTGATTCTTTCACAGAGCTACTGAGCGTTTATTCTGGTCTGTTTATATTTTGGTATCTATCTTTCTTTCATGTTTTTGACTTTGCCTTTTGCCTGATCCCCTTTGGACTTGTTTGCCTAGTGTTATGTTTGTTTTTCTGTGCCTCCTGTCTGTTTTGGATTTGACCCATGTCTGTTTGTTGACGATAACTCTGGATCACGATTTAACTAGTAAAGTGTCTTTCTTCTTTGTTTATCTGTACGAGTCTGGCTAATTCTGACTCATTACATATTTATCAACTACACTGTAAAGAAATCAGGCCAACCCAGTAAAAATGACTTCATATCATGTATTTCAGTAAATTGAAATACTTTGAATGAACGATTCTTTCAATCTGTGTCACTTTTTGAGTTGAATAAAACTAGTTTAATCGCTTTTTTAGGTCAATCTGATGAGCTATTTTTTTGCAGTGTGCAGAACTTACACTTTAGTTCTATTATAGATACGGAATATTTCATAATATAGTCAGCCTTAAGATTAATAACTGAAAAACTAATTTAACAATGCATTTTTAATTTGTTTTTGGTCTCTATTATAGTTTTTCTTTTTTGCCACAAAAGAAAGCCCAGCAAAATGTGATATTTGCAGAAAATGCTGTATTTTCAGTTGTTTCCTGCATGGTTACCTGTGTTATATTCCCTTAGAAAATCAGTGAAACACTTGAACAGGGCAGTTCAGACTTTCGCTTGCAACTGTAAATGATTAGGTTTCTACAATTCAAAATAATGATTGATCATTTGTACATCACTAGGTAAATCATTAATAATTCAAATGGTACCATTTGTTAATGTATGTGTAGTTATAGCCTGTTTATAGAAAGTTTTACCAGCACAATTCATTGTTACATAATTAAAAAAAAACTTGTACAAAAGTATAAAAAAGTATAAAACATACAAAATACAAAATAATTGTGTACAGAACTTAGACTTTAGTTTCATTTTAGATACTGAATAATTCATAACATAGTCAGCCTTAAGATTAATAACTGAGTGATGAGTCAAACAAAGCATTTCTTTGTTTATTTTTGGTTTCTAGTCTAGATTTATTCTTCTCCTGTAGTCGTAAAGCCCAGCAAAATGTGGCGTTTCTGCACAATTCAACCGGAAATCATCAAGTGGTGAATGGTAAAAGTCTCCTGGGGATATTTTACAAAGCAGTTTTTTTCAGTAAGTCAAATAACTTAAGCTAAAAGTCAAATGTGTCTAATAGGAGAAGAGACTGGATCATTACTATTAGAAAATGCTCACTTTGGGCTTAATCCATGTACTCTTGAGGTTATTATACAGTTATTACTCTGTTATTATACAATTATAATCTTTTATTTTTACAAAACTACTGTTAATTGTTGAGTAATGTCTGTGAACTAATATGGATGCTATGTAGTCATATGAGTGATAGATAGATAGATAGATAGATAGATAGATAGATAGATAGATAGATAGATAGATAGATAGGTGAAAAGATGTATGGATGTATGGATGGATGGATTACATTTAGGATGATTTGGGTACTTCTGTTTAACAATTTAGAAGTTTAATTCTAGTTATTAATCTCTTAATCTAATCCACATTTATTAATCTATTATTATTCAGTTATTAATCTCTTAATAAGTAACTACTTTTAATTATTGAGTAACGTCTGTGAAAGAGAGACCTATGAGAAAAGAAAAAATAAAAGAGACATAGCAAAGAAAATGGAAAGAACAAGTGAAAGGGCAGACAGCAAGAGAAAAAGAGAGAGTGATAAAGAGGAGTCAAAAGAGAGACAGTGAGTGAAAGAATAAAGTGCAAAAGAGAGGCAGATGAGAAAGAAAAGGTGATACAGTTGGTATGATAAGGTACAGTATTGAAGTACAATTAGTTTATTAGATACAACAGACTTTTTACTCTTTACATTTTCTTTAGACCTTTGATCTTAAACAAAGGGTATTAATAGTGAGTTTGTGCTGCAGTAACAGCCTCTACTCCTCTGGGAAGGCTTTACACTAGTTGTTGGAACATTGCTGTGAGGATTTGATTGAGCATTAGTGAGGTCAGGTACTGATGTTGGATGGTCAGTTCTGGATCTCCAACACATCCCAAAGGTATTGGATGGAGCTCCATCACTCCAGAGAACACAGTTCCACTGCTACACAGCCCAATGCTGGACATGGTGATTTTGGGCCTTTCTGTTTGCAGTGATTTTCTATTACCTGGAGATTTGAGGGTGCATATTAAAGTAGCTGGATTCACTCTTTAGTGGGGCTGTCTGGATACTTTTTGAGGTATAGTGTA